GCATGTGACTCTTGATCTCCAGGTTGTGAGTTTAAACCCCACATGTGGCATGGAGTTTACATAAAATTAAATTAAATTAAATTAAATTAAATGAGGGATGCCTCAGTGGCTCAGGAGGTTAAATGTCTGCCTTCGGCTCAGGTCATGATCTCAGGGTCCTGGGATCGAGCCCGGCATCAGGATCTCTGCTCAGCAGGGAGCCTGCTTCCTCCCCTCTCTCTCTCTGCCTGCCTCTCTGCCTACTTGTGATCTGTCAAACAAATAAATAAAATCTAAAAAAAAAAATTAATAATCTATTTCTAAGCCCTTAAATGTTACTTTCATTCCATTATTCTCTTGTTAAAATGTATCAAATATGTACTCTACCTTTCAAGGTTCTTATAATCTTTCATTTTCCTAGTTCAGCATCATTTTCATAATTTCTTTTTTTAAAGATTTTATTTATTTGACAGAGAGAGGAGAGAGACAGAGAGAGAGCATAAGCAGGGGGAGCAGCAGAAAGAGAGGGAGAACCAGGCTCCCCACTGAGCAAGGAGCTTGATACAGAACTTAATCCCAGGACCCTGGGATCATGAGCTGAGCAGAAGCTTAACCACTGAGCCACCCAGGAGCCCTTAATAATTTCTAACAGACATCCTCTACTGCAGGAATTTAGAATAGATGCCTTGTGGCCCCCATAGATAAAATGTATTCATCCTGAATATGTCCTTTCAGTGTGGCTGTTTTCTCTATGAACTCCTTCATCATCCTGCTGATCTAAACAATCCCACTCCTTTAAGATTTTCCTCTCCCAGAAAAACATGACCCTAAACTCCAACTTTTAGTACCTTTCTATTCTTACTATAATTTTGGTTAATACTACAGAACGGAGACTACCTTATACTCTACAGTGTTGCTGTGGTGCTCATAGGTATTAGTACTCTCTTCCCAACTAGATGGTAAGTTTATTTTTAAAGAAGATTTTACTTATTTATTTGTCAGAGAGAGAGAGAGCACAAGCAGGGGGATTGGCAAGCAGAGGGAGAAGCAGGATCCCTGCTCAGTGAGGAGCCCGATGTGGGACTCAATCCCAGCACCCCATGATTATCACCTGAGCTGAAGGCAGTCACTTAACCAACTGAGCCACCCAGGCGTCCCATGACTAGATAGATGGTTAAGTTTACTACAATCTATATTGCGGTAGAATCTGCTACCCCAAAATATGCCACTTAGGAATAAGAATTATTTTGAGCTAAAAGCACTTAAAAAACAGCACATACCAAAAGAGTGACCTTCCGTTTCTTCCTGGAAGCAAGAGATAAAAATCCCATGTGAAAGCTGTCCTCTGCATAGGAGGAAGAAAGAAAACATTCTTATCACCAGAGATAGGGAGTGGAGGCTGAGAGGAATCTGTACAAAAAGACCTCACTAAAATAACTCATCCCTCCTTTAGCCTCCCCATATATCTTAGTTGTGTTTCCACACTGCCTCTCTTTGCTCAACACAGTATAAGAGCATTTTGGTCTTGCCATTTCCTTATGAGAGTTCCTATGTCATGTAGAACTTGTATTAAAACAATCCCATTTACAATGCACCAAAAGGAATAAAATACCTAGCAATAAACCTAACCATGGACGTGGAAGACCTATAGTGTGAAAACTACAGAACACTGATGAAAGAAACTGAAAGAGATACAAACAAATGGTAAGCTATCTCATGCCTATGGATTGGAAGAATAAATATGAAAATGTCTACTACACTACCCAAGGCAATCTGCAGATTCCATGCACTTTCTACCCAAGTACTAACAGCATTTTCCACAGAACTAGAATAAATAAACCTAATATTTGTATGGAACCAAAACAGATCCTAAATAGTCAAAGTAATCTTAAGAAAGAAGAAAAAGGTGGAGGTATCACGATCCCAGATTTTAAGATGTACTACATAGCTATAGTAATCAAAACAGTATGGTACTGGCCCCCAAACAGACACGGATGCGTGGAACAGAATAGAGAGCCCAGAATAAACACAACTCTAACAGTCAGTTAATCTATGACAAAGGAGGCAAGAATATCCAATAGGGAAAAGACAGTCTTTTCAATAAAAAAATAGTTTTGGGAAAACTGGACAGCAACATGTGAAAGAATGAAACTGGACCGCTTTCTCACACCATACACAAAAATATACACCAGATGGATTAAACACCTAAATGTGAGACTATAAAACTTCTAAAAGAAAAAAACATAGGCAGGAATCTCTTGGCTCAGCAACATGTTTATGGATAGGTCTCCTCAAACAAGGACAACCAAAATAAAAAGCTTTTGCATAGCAAAGGAAGTCACCAACAAAACAAAAATGCAACCTCCTAAATGGGAGAAGAGATTTGCAAATGATATACCTGTTAAGGGCTTAATATCCCGAGTATATAAAGAACTTGTATAATTCAACACTGAAAAAAAGTAAATAATCAGATCTAAAAATAGGCAGAGGACCTGAATAGACATTTTTCCAAAGAAGACATACACACGGCCAACAGACATATGGAATGGTGCTCAATATCACTCATCATCAGGGGAAAAAAAAAATCTAAACTACAATGCGGTATCACCTTACACCAGTCAGAACGGCTAGTATCAAAAAGACAAGAATTAACAAGTACTGATAAGGATGGGGCAAAAGGCAATCCTCGTGCACTGTTGGTGGGAATATAAATTGGTGCAGCCAGTGTGGAAAACGGTATGGAGGATCCTCAAAAAAATTAGAAACAGAAATACCATAAGGTCCAGTAATTTCATTACTGGGTATTTACCCCTAAACTAACACAAATCCAAGAAAATCCATGCACCTCTCTGTTTACTGCAGCAGTATTTATAGTTGCTGAGACATGGAAACAACCAAATATGCATTGATTGATGAATGGATAAACATGTGGGATGTGTGTTTGTGTGTGTGTACATATATACATGTATAAATGAAATAGAATATTACGCAGCCATAAAAAAGACCCAACATCTTGGGGTGCCTGGGTGGCCCAGTGGATCAAGCATCTGCCTTCAGTTTAGGTCATAATCTCAGGTCCTGGGATGGAGCCCCGCATCAGGCTCCCTGCTCAGCAGGGAGTCTGCTTCCCCCCCCCCACCCCCCGCCTGCCTCTCCACCTACTTGTGATCTCTGTCAAATAAATAAATAAAATCTTAAAAAAAAAGAATGACATCTTGCATTTGTGACAACATGGGTGGACCTAGAGGGTATCATGCTAACTGAAATAAATCACACAGAGGAAGACAAATACCATATGATTTCACTTATATGTGGAATCTAAAAAACAAAATAAAGGAACAAACAGACACTTAAAAACAGAGAACTGGTGGTTGCCGAGGGGTCGGTAGGGAGATGCGTGAAATAGATAAAGGGAATTAAGAGTACAAACTTTCAGTTATAAAACAAATCACAGAGATGAAAAGTACAGCACAGGGAATGTAGTCAATAATATTGTAATAACATCGTATTCTGACAGGTAGTAACTACACTTATTGTGATGAGCACTGAGTAATATATCAAATTGTTCAATCAGCATGTTGTACACCTAAAAGTAATATATTATCAATTATATTTCAGTAATAAAATAACCAAATAAATGTGCATATTTTCATCCTGTTAATCTATTTTATGTTAATTTAATTATAAGTCATAGGCAAAAGATAAAACTCCCCTACAAGGTCTTCTAAGTTTTACCCATAGCATCTATTTTTTTTTTTTTAAAGATTTTATTTATTTATTTGACAGACAGGGATCACAAGTAGGCAGAGAGTCAGGCAGAGAGAGAGAGAGAGAGGAGGAAGCAGGTCACTGCTGAGCAGAGAGCCCGATGCGGGACTCGATCCCAGTACCCTGAGATCATGACCTGAGCTGAAGGCAGAGGCTTTAACCCACTGAGCCCCCCAGCCTACCCATAGCATTTTAAGGATTTATAGGAGCTTGTTAAGGGAATCAATCCAAGGATATTATTTCAGCCATTTCAGTAATCCAAGAATCCTTGTGCAATAACGATTGTATCCTCCAAGAACAAAGACAAAGCCACATGCTAAGATGGAGAACTTCTTGGAAACGTCAAAACCATGAAATGTCTAAAGGTTTCTGAGTCTTGCACCTTAGAAGAGGAACCAAAATGTAAAAAATATGATATATTGATACTGAATTTAAAAAGGAGGGAAAGGCATAACGTTTGGAAAGGCATAAAGGCTCCAATGGCATTAATGACAATAAAGGCATTAATGACATTACTGGACTGTGTACAGTTGAACATTATAAGCATCTGGTGTTACAAGTCGCAGCAGACACAATTGGTTTCTTCAACATTGTTAATAGCACCCCCGGGCCATTCTCATTCCAAGCTAAGAACCTTCATGGTAGAAGGTAAGAACCTTCATGCAGACAATGGAGTAGATTTAGTCAGCAGTTTAGAATCCCTGAGTGCAGGAGAGTGACTGGTATTACCACTCTAACGCATTTCCCATCAACTAGGCTAAAGAATGTAGGGTGGGGGTGCCTGGGTGGCTCAGTGGGTTAAAGCCTCTGCCTTTGGCTCAGGTCATGATCCCAGGGTCCTGGGATCGAGCCCCGCATCGGACTCTCTGCTCCGCAGGGAGCCTGCTTTCTCCCCTCTCTCTCTCTGCCTGCCTCTCTGCCTACTTGTGATCTCTCTGTCAAATAAATAAAATCTTTCAAAAAAAAAATGTAGGGTGGAAAGCAAAAACTCTAAAACATGAGAGCACATTATCAAAACATGAGACACAGTTATGGGCCACTGGGAAATGAAGCCATCAGAAATGGCAAGGTCAGGAGTATTATTCCCCAGCCTGAGAAGCCCCTGTAACATATCAGTCTTTTCAAACATGTGAACATGCAACTGTCAATGTATCGCAATACACGTGAAGACTAGTAATAGCACATTTTCATATAAGGTATCATTAATAGAAACTTTAACTTAGTTACAGTTAAATTTTTAATGAGAAACTTACCTTGCAGAACTTGACTTCTGCCTCTAAATGATGAATGTATTGAGACTGGTCATTGACGATAGGAACGAGATTGTATACAGTAGGCATATTGGCTTCCTTGTACTCTGATGACCTCTAAGGCAAAAAAAAACCAAAAAACAAAACACCCCCCCAAAATTAAGCATCTTTGGATTTAGCCAAGAATCAGGTAATACCACCATACCACGTCTATACTCAATTTAGTACTGATGTCACAAAAACATAGGGTAGATCACATTGTGGCCAGTAGTATTTATGTCTCTAGTTTATAAATTCCACAGATAGATAAAATAGATAATATTCAGGTGTGAATATCTTTTTTTTAAAGATGGAAAGTGAGAGTGGTCATAAAAACTTTGTGGCAAATGGAAAAATGCTGGTGTAGTCTCATTGGCTTGGGGTGAACTGCCTATCAGAGCCATCTGGAAATGTGACACCCTATTCAGCAATGGGGAGATAAATGGACAACTCTCTTCAAGAAACCGCCATACGAGAGCACTATAAGCCAAAATGGCAGACCAGCGGCCTGCTGAAGGGTTTCTTTAGACAAGGGTTCGCTGCCAGGTGTGTCCACCAGGTAAAATTCAATCTACAAAGGAGGACATTAGCAAAGCATGGTTTTTGATTTTTTGACCCTAGTACTCAAGACAATTTGAGACTATGCTGGTCTGGAGCACGGAGCTGCCAAGCCTAGGGTACACAGGCAGGACCCTCGAGAAACTGACAGCTACCCTGGACCAGGGGTCCAGCAAACAGACCCCAGAAAAAGTGTTAATTCTCTGTACCTCTGCAGTACTCCTGCATTGACTTTAATGTATTTCCTACTTTTGCCTCAAATGATAATGGGGTTTCTAGAATCATTTATCATTCCGTGATATTTTTTAAGGAAAAGAGGAAACCAGGAAGGGAGAATGAGTGTCAACAAGTGAAATGAACCCAGAGAACTCTCGAGATGAGACACCTGATCCTTATTCTCAGGCTGTTAGAAATTCCTAACAACAAAGGACAGTTCTTGTGGCAGAATAATTAAGTAGAGTTTTGCTTTTTCGCATATTTAAGAAGTTTAAAAACCAAAGTAACTATAATTAAATGGATTATCTCTGGTGAATAGAAAGCAATTAATGATAATAATTTTATGTTAACAGAAATGGGTCCAGAACATAGACAAATAAGAATCAAATATGACTGTGGGTGTAAAAAATAAAAAAGACCCAAGCTAATACTGAGTGGAAAATGAAATCACCTGTATATAGTTTGAAGGGTTTATTAGAATCTGGACAGCCACATTTCAAAATCATAAGTAATAATATGTGGTTTTATTTTCCATCTCAAAGCGCCTCCGTTGCATTGTCAATAGGGCTGCTATGTCGTATGGCTATGAAAGTGCACACGAGCGCTGCCTGGGTGGCTCAGTCAGCCAGGTGTCTGACTCTTGGTTTCAGCTCAGGTCATGATATCAGGGTTGTGAGATCGAGTCCCAAGTTGGGTTCTACGCTGAACACAGAGCTTGCTTCAGATTCTTTCCCCGTCCCACTCCGTCCCCCTCAGCACCTACCCCGGCTCACTCGCTAGCGCTCTCTCTCTCTCGAATAAATAAAATTTTTTTTTAAAAAAGAAGAAGAAAGTGTCTCTAAAGTGTTTCTAAACCGTCAGACATGCTTATTGTCATTATGGCTTGTAATCATTCCAGGTGGGCTATACACATTCAGAGTCTAACTCACATCCTTCCACACAGCTCCATATAAACGGATCCGGGGATTTGTAAAGCACATACAGAACCAGTGATGCTCTCGATAAGCCTCGTCCTGCTACCCAGATTCAACCAGCTCCAGATTACCGCTGCTCGGTTGTAACTTTAAAATGATAATGACTGTGTGGGGCACCTGGGTAGCTCAGTGGGTTAAGCCTCTGCCTTCAGCTCAGGTCATGATCTCAGGGTCCTGGGATAGAGTCCCACATCAGGCTCTCTGCTCTGCAAGGAGCCTGCTTCCTCCTCTCTCTCTGCTTGACTCTCTGCCCACTTGTGACCTCTCTCTGTCAAATAAATAAAATCTTTAAAAAAAAAATGATAATGACTGTGCCTGAGCATTCAGCAGATGCAGTAACTTCGTCTACTAGACTTCCAAGTACTCTACCCACTCTGTACTTAAGAGCATTCTAGAAGCCAGGTCTCACCAGGAATGCATTCACTGAATGCATTGTTGCATTAAATTTGCATTAATGTTGCATTAAAATTATAGTTGATAGCCATAAATGTTGAATATGGGTATGTAGTACATGTCTCCAAAGTGGGAATTAAGCATGAATGTATGTGTCAGGCTGGAGCAAAGTGTTAATATGGGGGTACGGTTATGACATTTCAGCTGTGAGTAAAGTGCTATGTCTCCATGGTTTCTATAACGCAGCCTTGTTTTCCAACTGTCGCACACATTTCAATGCATTACGTTGAAAATGCTTTACGCATTACATTGAAAATACAAGGTAGTTATTGCTACTTTGATGTATTAGATTTGTGTCAGACTGCATAGGTTTCTAAAGAATTTTAAGTATATACTCTTATTATTATAGAAACGCTGTGAGGCATAATATCTTTCTAGAAAGTAATAGGCCCAGATAGACCTAAGGCCTAGGCCATTATTTAGACCATTTAAACCCGGCCAAATCCTTCCTTCATACCTATCTCTCCCTCACATCTGTATCAGGCGTTAGCATACCACATTGCTACAATCAGGAATAATTCACTCTGTTGAAGCAATAGCAATAAAAAACAACTTCAGAAAAAAATACACTATAGCTTCTCACATTGTGCAATTTTATAACCATGTATTTTAAAATGCAGAATAAGATTATATACTTTGGTTTTGATACTCAAAATATGTGTTACAAAGGACAGCTAGCAATATAATTAAATTCTAAAAGCCCATAAAAAAGAAACAGCTACTCTTTTCCATAGACCGTTCCTTTTTTTTTTTTTTTTGTTAACAATTACAAAGTAAATTGTCCAGACTTTTCCCTCACTTATACTTTTCAAGCAAACAATAAATTTAAAATTCAGGATTCCCTCTGCCATGGAAGTCTCTATTCTTCAGCCAAAATAATCAGAGAGGAGATCATTTTTTTTTAAAGATTTTATTTATTTATTTGACAGAGATCACAAGAAGGCACAGAGACAAGCAGAGAGAAAGGGAAGCAGGCTCCCCCCGAGCAGAGAGCCCAATGTGGGACTCGATCCCAAGACCCTGAGATCATGACCTGAGCCAAAGGCAGAGGCTTTAACCCACTGAGCCACCCAGGCGCCTCGAGGAGATCATTTCTTTTAATGCTTTATGCTATCAGAATGTCCTGCCCAGTATTCTACTAAAACAATACTGTAGAGTTAAAACATACTTAGATGGTCACCTGGGTGGCTCAGTCGGTTAAGCATCTCTTGATTTTGACTCAGGTCATGATCTCAGGGTTGTGAGATCAGGCCCCCTATCAGGCTCTGCTGAGCGTGGGGTCTGCTTGAGATTCTCTCTCTTTCTCCCTTTCTCCTTCCCCCCATTCAAGCTTTTTCCCTCTAAATAAATAAATAAATAAAATCTTTTTTTAAAAAAATAGGAAGACAATGCTCTTGTCAGGTTGCAAATGTGGGTACGCACCAGAAGGGACGCATTTTGCCTTCTCGATGGAGACACCTCACTTTCCTTAGTTGCCTGTTGGCACAACAGAGCTTTGAGCTGATTGACTGTGGAGAGAACATGATGGGTTTCATTAGCCTTCCCTCAGACCCAGGGCTTATCGCCACCCATCCACACTTCTATCCATCTAACAAACATAGTGTAAACATGTTTTATGCATCAACAACTGTGCAATGGATGGGAGATCCAAAGGCAAACATAAGAAAATCGCTACCACTGAAAAGCTGAGTCCACTGAGCAAGAGCAAGCCACTGACAGATTAAAAAAACCGGGTAATAAGTTCCCATGTAGATCTGTAGCTATAGGCAGTGCTAGAAGAAGAGGAAGCACCTAACCATGGCTGCTTTTACAGAGGAGTTAACTCTGCGAAGGATGAGCAGATTAGGAAGCAGGAAAGGGTGAGAAAAATCCCATTTCGAAGGGATGGCGGAAGCAGGGCCAGTGGGCTGCTATGGCTAGAACGTGGCTTGCAACATGGATGGTGGGGAGCAGGACAGAAATATGAACATGCAGAGGTAGCTTGGAGCCACCTTAAGAAAATACTGCTATGACATTTAAAGGACTGTGGACTTCAGCCTACAGGCACATGAAGTCAAAGGGAAAATATTCAGCAAGGGAACTACACCAGCTAATTTGTGTTTCAGGAAGAAAATCACACCTGCAGAGTGGAAGATGGCCTGGAGTCCTTACTCTATGGAGGAGCTTAAAATAGTCACCCTGTGCCACTGAGACCAGGACTGACGTCCGTTCACACGCACCGGCATGGCTGTACTGCAGCTCCTGCCAGGCTGCCCCAGGGTCCTCACTTTCCACGCCGGTGCCACACGGGGCGTCTGGTGCGCCTTCTCCAACACCACCGTCGCCTTCTCTCAGGGCGCTCTGCAGCTGGTGAATGCTTCTATTCGCACGCTCTGCAACGACAACATGATGCAAATCAGCGCTGGGGACGTCTGGACGGCCACATGTACACTTACTCCAAAAGCCAGTTTCGAAAGGAGAAGTCATCGTGTCTCAGACTTTCTGGGAAAAAGCAGAGAGGTGTTTCTGGCTTTGCTGAGGACAGTGCTGAGGAAGAGAGAGATGAAGTTCATGGTCAGAGGTGAGGCTTGATGATCCCTAGGCCCCTGACTCATCGTGGTGGACACTCAGCACACATAGCTCTACTTCCGAGGAGGACAGAATGGGTTAGATGCTCCCCACTCCACCCTCCCAACACCGACCCCACCCCAGAAAGGGCTCCTCTTCCCTCCCTGAGAGACCAGGGTGGTGGGCAGAACTAGCCAGACAGACTCCACCACATCAAGGTCATACCCAGGGAAGCCCACTTGTGCCTGTGAGCCAGAGGTCCCTCCTCAACAGACAGACAGCCAGACTGTCTGGACTAGTTTTGATAAAGACCAGAAGAGCTAAATGAAATGCTTACAGTGCCCTCCTCTGTAGTGTTAGTCCCTCCAGTGTCCTGCGGGCTGACTACACATCCATAGTGACTCTTGGTCAGTGGACCTCACCACCCCCAGGACCAAAGCTCTGACTCACTAGCACATACTTAACCCTACAGCCTAAAACGAAGTTTCTTAGGGTATATTATACTATAGTAGTTCATCTCTCCAAATAGCGCCCCCCCCAAAACCAGGACTCTACCCTTGTCCCCTCCCAAGTTGAAACTAAGTTGGTAACTTGTACTCACCAATGGAATGCAGAAGTTACACCATGCCAGACCAGGCTTCATTTTTTTTTTTTAAAGATTTGTTTATTTATTTGAGACAGACAGAGAGGATGCATGTGCTAGTAAGCGCCCACTGTGCACATGTTGGGGAGGGGTACTGCGGGGGAGGGAGAGGACAAGCAGACTTCCCACTGAGTGTGGAGCCCACTCGGGGCTCAATCCCATGACCCTGAGATCATGACCTGAGGAAACCAAGAATAGAGACCTTAACTGACTGAGCCACCCAGGCGCCCCCAGATTTCATTTTTTAAATGTCTGGTAGCTTCTGCTTCCTCCCTGCTGGAATGCTTGTTTTTACGATTCCTAAGCCACTAAGTAGGAAGCTTGCCTACCCAGCTGGAGAGATTGTGGCCGGGCCATGTGGCAAGGAGAGGCCCTGAGACCACATGGGGAAGGACAGAAGCCCAGCCCCGCTGACAGCCAGGGGAGCCTCCAGATGACTCCAGTGCCCGAGGCCATCTCATCGCAATGGTATGAAAGAGACAGGAAGAACTGTCCAGCTGCGTCCAGTCAACCCAAATGCCTTTAGTTGTTGCTGTCAGACACCAGGCTTTACAGTGGTTTGTTATGCAGCAATACAGACCTGAAATAATGATCCAGTGAAATACCCAAAAATGTTTTCAGCAAAGGATCCGAGTCTTATATTAAAAACAGAATCATACTAATGACACCAGTGATGGCATTAGGAGAATCTATGCTACGTTATGGATATTTTCACATGTCTAACAACCAGAGAACCAGGCAATCAACTGGTAATTTCATTAATTAAGGTCCATTTATTTTTTCCATTTAAACTTGTTGTTTCTGCTCATCTCTTAGGATTGAATTCACTGGTTCCAATTTAGAAAACATTACAACAAAAACTGTTCCTTTCACATTAGAGCTGGAACCCAGATTTCAGTCACCCTGTTCAAATTTTGACATCTGTATTTGAAAGTTATTTTTTAATCCACTCATTAATTTACCAAGCATCTACATATATTTAAGATGGAAATGTATGGTCGGAAAATGATGAATTCCCATGCAAATTCATCTACATCTATTATCTATTTATTTTTTTTAAAGATTTTATATATTTGTGAGAGGGAGAGAGAGACAGGGGCAGAGGGAGAAGCAGACTCCCCGCTTGGCAGGGAGCTCCATACAGGGCTAGATCCAGGACCCTGGGATCACAATCTGAGCTGAAGGCAGACAACCGACTGAGCCACCCAGGTGCCCCTATTTCTTTTCTTTTAAAGGCTTTATTTATATATTGGAGAGACTGAGAAAGCAGGCGCACATGGCGCGCCACACACACGAGTGGGGCAGGGTGGGGAGGCAGAGGGAGAGGGAGAAGCAGACTCCCTGTGGAGCAGGGAGCCTGACACAGGGCTAGATCCCAGGACCCTGAGATCATGACCTGAGCTGAAGGCAGAGGCTTAAGCAACTGAGCCACTCCAGTGCCCTATCATCTATTACAAATGAACTCCACTGAAACAATCCTTAAGATCTTTGAGGGAAGGAGATGGTACTTTCCCTGAGAAGGTCCCTAAGAAGGAACAACTCTTAACAATGATGGCCAGTGACATTCTTGTTCTTCTTTGACAATTTAGGTCTATTTCTTCTTGTGTCCTCAGGAGAAAAGCTCCTCATCTTTGCTACCTACATGGGAACCCTTAGAGAGCTACAAAACAACTATCTTTTCATTACCAGTCATGGATGAAAATATATTTACAAACATATATTCTACAGGACCTTGAGAAACAGATTTTACTTTATCCAAGCTCATTAATTTCAAAGTTTAGAACAAAAAAAGTAACTGTAACTCAGTTTAAAAAAAATACACACACATACACACTACTCTGTGTTATAAAATATCTGACATAGGTTCTTCGCTTAGAGTAACTCATTTTATTTCCTAATTAAACTAAAGAAAATAAGCCTTTCAGGTCAGGGGTTCGACAATGAAATTTTATTACTCACTACACAAGAGACTCAGTGAATTTATCACTACATTTCTCTCCACACACCAATCCTATTTTCACACAGACCTTTGTCTGACAGGCCTTTGTGCTGAATACTAATCAAGCCTGGCCTCCTCTTACTCATCATGAGTTTTGCTTTTTGGGGTGGTTTGGGGTTTTTGTTTTGTTTTGTTTTTTACTCATCATGAGTTTAAGAAAAACCCAGATAAGACACATTTCTGGTTTTAGAAAAATAAGAAGTAGCAGTTTTCCAACAACTTAGTATTTTCTAAAGAGATTTAATGGAAAAGGAAAATCAAAGTGTTACATGGTAAGCAATTTAGTTCCCAAAGCTTTAGACTCACATGCGTAAATCTATGAATAAAGCACTTACCTTTATTACATCCATTAGAAAGGAAACAGAGGGACTGACTAACATTCAAAGTGTGCCCTGTGGAGCTATGAAATGATTTTTTCTAAGATAAAGGATAATTATTTATTTATACCTAATTTGACTAAAAGCTAAAAAGCTGTATTAGGAAAAAGAAAGGAAATCCGGAAAAAATTCACAGTTGAAAAATCTCTATACATAGAGTTCTTTTATGAGATTACAATGTTGGCGAGTTTTGAGCTCATTTAACCCCTTTTCCAATATCCCTCTTTACTCTTTTAAAATTTATGACAGTCAAAGACTATGTGTTAAAATTACACTATGAAAACAGTTATTATATGAAATGGTGAGATACTGAAATGAACAACTATCCCGAGGAAAAGTTATAACCAAGATATGGGGGGTTTTGCAATCACTGACTTCAGTTACTAGGATCAGAGAGGAAGAGAAGGAATTTGCAGAAACTGTGTCCTAAAACTAAAACTAAAAAGGGAAGTGATATTTTTAAGTCATTTCAATAGTATATTTCAAAATACTCTACATGCTCTTCAGGTATATACATAGCAACCTAGTTATATGCTGTAACAGACAGAGTTAATCCCAAGGAATAATAATGCTTAGATGGTTCAAAACAGATGAAACCCTATTGCTCTTCAGCTGGAACCACCGCAATTCAAAGTCCTATAGTCCTTACATAAAACACTAAACCCCACATGCCGTTATCTGCTATAAACCGGATTAGACAGGAGGTTCTAGTTATCATTTCCTATCCCATTGTGAGTGGGCAAACTTTTTCTGTCCACAACCAAGAGATGAAAAGAATACTCATTTCCCCTTCTCTCCAGAGAGGACAGTATGAGTCCTTCATAATGCATCCTGATTTCTTATTCCCAGCACCAACCATAGCCTGAAAATAAACTTAATTATCAATACAAACCCAAATAGGACCTCTGAGTCCCAAAGCAACACATGAACATAAAAGTAAGTAGTGGGGCGCCTGGGTGGCTCAGCGGGTTGAACCTCTGCCTTCAGCTCGGGTCACCATCTCAGGGTCCTGGGATCAAACCCTGCATCAGGCTCTCTGCTCAGCAGGGAGCCTGCTTCTCCCTCCCCCTCTGCCCGCCTCTGTACTTGTGATTTCTCTCTGTCAAATAAATAAATAAAATCTTTAAAAAAAAAAAAAAGTAAGTAAGTAGTATTTCTGGAGGTCCACTACTCGTATATCAATAGTACAATGAGCACCACAAGTGAGCGAGCTGCTGACTGTTGGTCCATTTCAGTCTGTCTTAACCATTCTCATGGTCCAATCCCACCCACCCATTTTCTCCCCCACGTCACCATCAGGCCTCTCTTCACCAAGGTGTTTTTGAACAAAAGGCAAATAACATCCCAGTTTAGGAAGGCTCATCCCTTATATATGGACCGTGAATTATTCATGTCTCCGTTCTCCATCTGCACAGGGAGATGTGAACAGGAATTACCCCGGTGACTGGGTGGGGGGAACCACTCCCCGGGCAGTGCCCAGCTGTCTCTGAGAAACCAAGCAATGAACCAGACTTCCCTAGGCTGAGACTCGAGATGCACCCCGGTTCTTAAAACAAGCAGAGACCAGGGCAAACAAGCAGAAAAATGAAACCACAGCAAGATAAGAGATACATGTGTCTGTCCACACTTGACTGGGCTTCAGCTAGTCAGAAGATTGTTGTCACCTTTACTAGGGGACTGACAGCTAGCACAACCAAGATAAAACAGCCTAATCCAAAGTCAGAGAAAGCCAGCCTTGGAAATGACAATTACAGTAGTGAAAGGGATTAAAAGTAACATGCAGAAATGAAAAAAACATCTAAAAGA